CCCCCAAAATGGGTGCGAGTTGTATGAATTATTTGCAAAATTTACGGATTTTTGAGGTTTTATATACAGGTAAACGTCCGAAGAGGATGACATGTATGGGACAACAAAATACAGACTTGTTGTTATTGAGTTTGTCAACATTAGCCACTACCTAAGAGGTAATACTAACCCCTCCCCTGTCAGAGTGTCGGAGCAGGACGAGTCAGTGTAACGTCAATCAAATGAGAGAGAGGGTGGGGGCGATTGCTGCTTTGGCGGTGGGATGTTTTATAGGTAGAGTAGTTTATTTGTCCTGTAATACTTCATTATAGTTTTTTAAGACAAAGCTAAATGAAAGGGGCGCTGAGCAGAGTTACTACCAGGGATTACAAATAATTACTTTTTTCTTCTGCAGTTTGGCGCCCCCTCCAGCAGATGGCGCTCTAGGTGACCGCCTAGTTCGCCTATGCCAAGAGCCGGCTCTGCGTTGTCACACACAGTCCATTTGCGCACACACTACCTGCAGATTCCTCCTTGTTGGTGTTTGGCAGCTCACTTGCATATTTATTTTTTTGATTGGTGTTTGATGGTTATAGTATCAAAACTCGGAATCAAAATTCTAAATAAAAATAAATGAAAAATCCGGGAGAATCGTAACGTTAGTCCCGATTCCAATTGAGACTCACTTCTCGATGCCCAACCTTAGACCTGCTCTGACTAGCCTTAAGCTCATCAGGAACAGGAGATCTTTAACAGGTAAAATATACATTTTTCATAACCTTTTTACAGAATCACTCTTCAAAACATCAGAATTTGGTTGCCTAAATTAAACTTTTCATCTGAAGTTACGTAGTAGAACAGTCCTGAAAAGCAAGAACAATGTTGATGTTGAAGAGTTGACAACAACTCAAGCTGGTTTGCAGTTGGCCAGTTTTTCTTTACTTTTGTTTTATTTCTCTGCTGTGTGTCATCTGTACCAACGGTGCTTCTGAAACTCGCTCTGTACTTGTTGCTTCACAGCTCCCAACTCCAACTCTAAGGTCTGGATTCTCATCCTTAGTCTCAGTGTTTTTGCAGTCCTCCTGAGCGCGTTCCTGTTCTGGTCTYTTGTAAAGTAAGACATGAAGCTAAACACATTTGAATTGTTTCTGCATCTCTGGTTTGRTTTATTCAAAACTGCAACCCCTGTACCCCGTACGGTGTGTTCATTTGATTTCAGGTTGAAGAGAAAGTGGTGGGACRTATATTTAGAACCAAAGATGACCATATCACATATAACAAACCCAAGGGTGAGACACCTTCTGATGACATTTTTTTGTGTTTTTTGCATGCTTTTATTTTATTTGGCTTAAAATAAACATTTCATATCACATTTGTCAGGGTTTTCATAACACAAAAGATGAATCCAGCAGTTTTGTTTCACTGTGTGTAAAAATGGCTCCATTCTGCAGGATGATTTCATCATGTAATGCTTTTTGTTTCAGGTGATAACCATGATTCCACCGATTGAAATATCTGTCTGTRTTACAGAGGAAGAAATGTTAGTATGACTGCACAAACACATTTGTAARTGCATTTCCTYTACAGTGTGAATTGTATTTAAAGTAAGTGTTTGTCTCTCTTCAGGTCAAAGAAGCTACTTTTTCCTGAAATTCTAGTAGCTAATCAAGAGTCCGGCTGCTCGCAGGAACTGAAAAATAAAAACAATTCTSGATCAAGCGACATTTTCAATMAGACCTATTCTCTGCTTTTACCAAACTGTTCTGGTCAGAGGAAGACGGATAGTTTGGAAGTGCAATCGCAGACTGAAAGGTTTTCTGGCTGTGTGTGCTCTCCTAACACGAGCGACATGGTGAACAATCCTGACCGACAGGCTCATCTSCTTCCTGCACAACAAGATGCTTCATCTCTCGTGCCAACAGAAATGCCACATCAGYGGTGTGACRCATGTCCTCACAGAGCTTCACACGRTACCTTCGGTCACACCAACACAACCACCTCTGGYGAGCTGAAGACTGGCCCTAAAGGGTTTGAGATGTGCTGCGAKAAAGCTTTCAAACATGAAAACCCCTTCTACGGCTGTTTKCCCAATAATTCCCCCAGTTTTCTTCCCGAGAGAACTGATTTCCAGCCAGTTCCAARTAAAGTGGAGCAGCCTGATGCTCTGCTTTTACAAAAGATAAATGCTAGTTTCGAGCATCTTTTAAAGAAGTATCCAGAAGAAACGTTCAACAAGATCCCCCAGCCCAACTTCAGCCCCTTCACTCCAGGTTTCATTAATAATACCCAGAATGCACAGTGTCAGCCTGGGCTTCTGCTGCCTTTTCTCCCAATGATGTCTGCTGGCAAGACTATAGAAGTAATCAGCGACTATCACGGTATTTAGTTTGTTTGGTTTCTGGATTTACTGCGAAATCAGGAAACTGCGGTCCAATTTTTGCATTTTTGTAGCCTGTTCATATTTTAGGAACAGAGGATTTTAGTCTGTATGTGCGCATTATATATTAGATTCAAGGTAAAACTTTGAGAAAATGTGCATGAAACTTGCATTGACATCTCAGTTGTAAGACATTTGCACTAAAGAATGTTGTGGACTGATGTGTGTCTTTTTTTAAATGTGTGCACAGTCCTGTATTTATTTTCTTTTTTTCTTTTATTATTATTATAATTATTATTTTTTTTGCTGTATTGCGAAGGGATCTCAAAGTTTCCATACAATGTCAAATATCAGTCAAAACACATCTGTTTTGAGACCTTAAAAAGGAGACGTAAGTCATAGGTCCAGTTTGTCTGCAACACATCAAAAGTTACACATAATTTTCCATGTCCATGTAGGATTTAATTTTATTAATACCTCTTTTTACTGGGAGAGTGAAAACAGCACATTTATCCATCAGTTCAGAGCTTTTGAAAGGATAATAGATCTTTGAATGGACTTTAATCGAGCGACAACGTTCAGCTGTCACACGGAGCTCTTGCTACTTCCTCATTGCTGTTCCTAGGAGGTGTTGACTCATTTCCACAGAAATGTTTGAAACCCTCACCTAGCATGTTTTACTTATCACAACAAACAAAATGGCAAAGCAGCTTCAATGATGTAAAGATAAGTTTGTCAGAAGAGTCAAACAGTCTCTTTTACAAGTTTTTTTCTTTAAAAAAAAGTTGATGTGTGATTTGTTTTCATCGTGCATAATTTCTGCTTATTTCAAACGCTCTCATACCGAAGTGTCTGAATTTGCACAAATGTAACCAAGTGGTATATTTTAAACAATTAAATGTATATATTTTTAAAAACTTTGGTGTTTGACAATTGTGTTTTTGAGCGTTCACTAATAAGAACTGGTATTTCTCTGTAATAAGTCTGAAGCTGCTTCGTTAACCAGTAAGTTCAAGATCTGTTTTTGTAACAGACGTGGTGACATTTGCTGAGTTATGTAGAAATGTCAAAATCAACTAGAGAATTTGCATTTCCTACGAAAATGCAAGGGTGAATGCCTGTTGCGCAAAACATAAGCTAAAAGCTAAAGGTAGCAGACTCAAGTTGAAAGTAGCACCCAGATGGTGAAATGGAAGTAAAACTGTAAAATTAGTAGGAAAAACCCGCAGAAAAATCAGAAAAGGTGTTAAATTTCTAGTGCATTAGGT